CTTCGTAAGTTCATCTTCAGAGACCCTAACTTGATCCCTACAGTGACTCCGAAGAGAGGAAAGAGAAGTCAATCATCCAAGTAAGAAAACGGTCATAAAGGACTGAGAAAAAGTACAAAAAGACAGTGAGGCGCAATTATCAGCAAACAAAGATCATTCTTGCATAGTCAATTCAACATTTCAGTTTCAGTATTTCAGTTTAAGTACTCCAGTTTCAGCATCTCAGTTTCAATATTCCAGTTTTCAGCAAGTCCTTTCATTATCTATTTCAGCAAGCAACTAAGTTAATGAGGCTATATCTTTGATGCAACGTTGCAGTCGTTCCATGAGTGTCAAATCCTGAGAGTAGGGAGTAACTGTGAGTAGTCCTGGGAGCATTGACACAGTGTCAAGATCTGAGAAACTTATGGTTGTGGCACATCAAATGATATAAGCAGTATTATTCTTATCACAAAGAGAAAGCATGATGGACATAAAGAAGTTCAGTTCTGTCTGATTGAAAGTTATCAACAGAAGGACTTTGTGTCTTTGGCTGAGTTGTCTATCCAAGAGATTCAGACGAAGGCAGGCATAAAGTAGTTCAACTTTACTTGACTGAGAGTGGTCAGTAGAGGGACTTCGTGCTTCTTGGCTAAGGGTCTGTCTTCGCTCAGATGAGGAAAGGGACCTCTCTGAGATCGATGTTTTAGTATTTCCTTGAGACTGACGAGATGCCTCTTGGAAAAAAAATCCCAGTTGAGGGAAGGGACCTGTCTGGGGCTAGCACTAAGTTTTTTGCTTGAGGCTAAAGTGAGGTCTTTTGCGAACTCTTAGTGTTGGCTAGCATGTTATTGTTTAGTGCATCTTGAGACTGAAGGGACGTATGTGGAGGAATGTTTGTCCTGTTATGGGGCATGGGCAGTCTGCTTGTGGGTTATGATATGCTTGCCTGACTATCTGTGCCTGGGGTTTTCTTCTTTAACCTAAAGATGCGTTGATTGTCGGGGTCAGCCAGAGCCTTACCGCAGTAGGTTGCAATCTGGTGGGGTCAGCAGGTCCCCGACGCGAGTGTCAAATTCCGTAGTCAGCTGAGGCTAAGACTCCGGGAGTCTGGTCTGTGAGGCTAAAAGGGGTCAGCTGGAACCCTACCGCAGTCAGAGGATGCAATCTAGTGAGGTTAGCCAAAGCCTGGAACTGTGGTTAGACCGGGTTCCACGTTCAAAAGTCTGGGCGGGGTAGCCAGCGCCCTTGGCCAGAAACTGGTAGGTGAGCCGGTCCCTGATCGCAGTGGTCAAATCCGGATTCGGGACAGTCAGACGGACGGGATGTCTACTGTCACAGAGTGACCAGACCCGCAATAGTCTGGATGTCCTGGCGAGAGTGTCAAAGGGCTGCCATACTCGAGTGGTGGGTATCATTGGTCCTGACCTGGAGGCAGGTCAAAGGGGCTGTCAAGACAAATGGTCTAACTAGTCCTGGCCTGAGGCGGGCCGAATGAGGTATGTCAGACTGACGGGACGTCTGACATTCCTGGCCAGTGGTAGGCCGAAATCAAGACAATCAATAAATCCTGGATATGAAGAGTTGTTATGTATTAATTGTTATTTGTTATTTACTGTTTTATTTATGGGGTTTATTTTAATTTGTTAATGTTTGACTGCTGGTTGTCAGAGGGTCTGCTGCTGGGATATGGTTGTTGTCTGTGGGACTAGCTGGTTTTGCAGGTATGCAAATACTTATCTGACGTTCCCAGACCAGGGAAAAGAAATAGGGTTTGGTATCCCCTCCCTTTTGTCTGAGAAGTTGGGGAGACTCAAGTGACTAGAGAAAGAAAACAAGGGTTTGGTATCTCCATCAAGTAAGGGGTTGAGAAGGTGTCTCTCAGGCCAGAGAACAGAAAAGAGGGTTTGGTATACCCTATTCCCAGCATAGCAGACAGAGTGAGCACCCTCGTTACTGGGGTCATCTTTGGCGTAAATGCCAGATCAAGAGTTGAGGTAACCTCCATGTGAAGAGCCAATAGTTGAACGAGTCAAGCAACCAGATAACATCCTTCTTAAAAATTTTATTTGGTGGCCGACAAGCGGCCTGGTTCACGAGAAACCTACATCCCTGGCCTTAAGGAAGCCAAACTCTCAGGCCTGGGATGCTATGAAGTGGACTGAACTGAAAATCTTATGAGTCGAGATCAGACTGAAAAGGCTGAGAAGAAGTCATGCTTGTAGATAACATAAAAGACAACCATGAGCTCGATTTGAAAAAGAAAGAGGAGAAAGAAGATGCTGAACAGAATGCAGTGACTGGGATGATAGAGTGATGAGACGGCACACGGGGCAGCGGAAGGTGGAGCAGGCACTATGGCCTTGCTCACAGCTAAGGTGGAAGGCGCTCTAGGGATATAAGGTGGAGAAGAAGCACTGGGTGTACTATAACGCGCATCAAACTTTTTGCGAAGGTATTCCATCCTGTCTGGGGATGGGGTCTTCTCGTACCACCCTGATATTGGGTAACGTGGATAGGGTCTCGGATGCGCATAGCCTCTTGGTTCTTCTTCCTCCTCCTCTCTGAACTATAAGCGCGCCGTGCCCTAACTGGCGGTTCCTCCTTAGTCGTCCCTGTCCTTCCTCCCCTTCCTCTACCCTGTCCGCGACGTGCCTCAGGCATGACGTAAAGTGAAGCATCTGTTAAGCAAAGGATAAAAGACAGTGGATCTATCTACAAGGACTATGGCTGGGAATACTATATGAATGAAATTTATAAAGACAAGACTATAAATGCACCGGCTATGAAGAATTATGATACACTGCATAAGAGAGAAGAAGAGCTCTAAGAGGGAAGGTAGGTATTAAGTGCGAAGATAGTTGTTGAAAACTCTGAGAAAGAAAGGTTAGCGCAGAGAGAGAAAGCGGGCGCAAGAAAGAGAGAGAACTAGCGCCGAGGCGCAAAGAGAGAAGGCTGGATTACAAAGTGAGAACGCACGCTGGAGGAGAGTGCGACTGTAAAAGGGAAGACGAAAACAGAAAAAGAAAACAAGCGCTATGAGAGAAGCCTAGCGCAGAGAGATGGTTGGCGCAGAGAGAAAAGAGTGAACGCTAAGAGAGCGGACGAGCGCAGAGAGAGAGCGAGCGCTAAAGAATTGCACAAGAGTGCGGCGCGGACGTCAACGCAAGCTACATCGGAAGTGGATGAAAACGTCGACGATTGTATCGCAAAACTTTGACCCAACAGAGACGCTGGGTGGGGGGTTGGTATTATGTCGGAGGGCGCGGTGTTCCGGCCCTCCTCCGTGTGCCAAGTCCCTATCTGGCACTTGGGCTATAGTATGATGTGGACTAGTCTAGGTGGCGTTGCCCTCGGCAAAAGGGGTGCGCCACATGACTTCCATTGGTCCACGCAGGCTCGGCACCCTGCTACACAGCAGAGCACAACCGGCCTGTGACCGTGGTGACCGCCGGGTTCGCCCTGGGACGCGGAAGTGAAAGGAATGGCGCAGTCTTTTCTGTCGCGCGCTGAGATTCCCTCTACAGGGTTATGCGTTAGGTGTACGAAATACAGGTCGCTGATAAAACGGAAAAAGAGAAAAGCGAAAACAATGCGCCGAATTTGAACTCACTTTGGTTCGGGGAAAATCCAGTGGCTTCGGGCCACTGTGATGTTACAATTCCCTTTCCATTTTTGCTTGCTGATTGTCATCATTATTATTATTATTACTGTTACTACTTAATTTTCCTAATTTTTCAGTTTTCCGCCTGTCGATCTGTCACTTTGCAGGGAAGGCCGCCGATTCGGGTTTTCGAATTGCAACTGCGGTCTTATGGTCTGGGGCTCTACCTACCCCTTGTATATCGCCTGTATCAGACCCGTTCGTCCGAACCTCGCGGTGGGTCCCCGATGGCCAGGTTAAGAGGCAGATACAATGAGGACTAAAAGAAGAAAGAAAAAAATATATATAGTAAAAGAGAAAAAGGAAGGGATAAGGATGAAAGTCAGGTTTTGGACTTGTGCGTGGAACCGCACCACTATTCAGGCGAGGCTGCCTCGCGGAGGAAATTTGAACTGTCATCTTTCCTTTTCTGCGATCTCCTTTTTTTTATTATAATTATTATTAATTTTGTTATTATTACTTTACCGGTTTTCAGGTGCGACCCTTCTTTATCTTCCTGTTCTTTTTCTATAGATGCAATTTTCATGCCAATTCGAAATGTAAATTAGAAAGAAATATATATATACTGGATATCTCTATCTAGAGATATATAGATATCTAATAATATCCAGAATAGAATATCTGTACATAATAGAATAGAGATAGACTAATTTAGAGTAATTTATCTTCTAAACTATGCCAATGGTTGCTTCAGAGAGGTCGGAAAGCCCTTAAAAAAGCTTATGTCACTTCGTGGGGAAGCCAACGGTCCGAACTTCAAACAGTGGCCCGAATTGGCCAACCCCACTTATTCCGTTTGAGAATATGTGTCGATTGAGTGTTGAGTGGTCGGGCCTCAAAAGAAGGGCGACCCGCGGCCGCTTCGGTAGGAGGCTTATCACCCCCCAAAGGAGGGTCATAAGCCCCCTCCTTACCATCGGATGCGGGCACCCGGTAGGAGTAGGTCAGTGGTCTGCTTTCGAAGTGAAAAGGTGCGCCGTCAGTATTACATTATGGGATTACTGTGTCTAGCCTGTGGTAATGCGACTTGATCGTTGGCGCCTCACTTTTCTTTTTCTTTTTGTGTAGACTATTTTTCTCAAAATTAATTAATATAGAGGTTATAGGAAACCAGAGTGCAGAAGTCTAAAAAGGGATACTCGARACTCTYGTTTASAACACAMGGGTCGCGGCCTMACTGTGTGTWATAAAAGGGAGATTGCTCCTGGGTTTCTGAGTGAGCGTGCGAGGCTGACATGTTGCGAATAGAGGGGAAACGCGRAGGCTGTATTCTCCCAKCGGTCTGAGTCCTGTTCTAGCCTATACCCTCTARTGCGGTACGGKCGAGTAACGTTCTAAGTGTTGGCTATTGTGAGCGTGGCTATCTCTGGGWGGCTATGGCGTTGCATGGGTATAGACCCTGCTATTGGTACCACCAAATTCGGTGGAAGCCTATGTCCAGGGAGGGGCCCTGGATCACGGCCATACTCAACTATGATGGGGGTGACGAGCTGAGACTGAGGATCAACGTGGAGGGAGGAAAAGAGGAGGAAATGCGGACTGATGGGAGGCTACAGGATGCTATCACTGAGACGAAAGACTGTGTGGAGAGGCGCTGTAGGAGAGACGGCGTGACAGTGAAAATGCAGGTAACGATCTCATATCATGAGACCGAGACCTCGATGGAGACGGCGGACTGGGAGCAGGACCACCTTGAACGAGACTCAGGTGGGGAGAGTGAGATGAGCGAGGCGGAGGACCGGGAGACGGATCTCAGGTCCTGGATCAGACCAGGCGAGATCCAGAGGCATCACCGGGCTGCGAAGCCGGTGGAAGAGGGACCTGAGGCCAACTCACGACAGCTGACGCCCAGAGACCGTGGAACTGGGGGAAAATAGAGCAAAGGGAAGAAACGGGTGTGAGGCGAGAAAGGAACGGCACGCGTGGCGAGAGGACCAGCAGTGGAGAGGCAAGTGCAGTAGGACTGGCACGGGGACGGTTTTTTTTTCGTACGAGAGGGCGGTCAACAAAAAGAGAGAGGGAGTCTTGGAAGGTGCGAGTGACGTCAACTGTTTTTTTCTCGTGAGACTGAACGCAGCGTAGATTGAGTTTGCGGGGGAGAGAGGCAGGATGATTGCGTCCCGAAAGTCAAGTCGTGACTGAGTCTGTGCACGAGGGATGGAGGCACGCAAGGAGAGAGAGAGGGACGGGGAGACACACGGGCAGTGGCGGTCTAGAGGAAGAGTAAATGCTCCGTGTGAAGAAGTTTGACGTATGCTTTCGCCTCAGTGAGTTGGCGTTGTCAGAGTAGAAGACTACCAAGAAAGGACGGGTTACGATATGCGCGGGCAAGAGGGGAATGTTCAGAGGGAAGAGAGTGGAGAGAGGAGGTCAAAGAGAGTGAAAGGGTTGTTGATATCAACGACTACCGATACGCTCGCGTGAAGCTTAGAGTGCGCTCAAAGTGGAGGAGGGGCAGTGAAAAGGGTGACCCTCTAAAGAGTGGGATACGAGCCGCTCAGCACAGAAAATGTCAACGCTCACCTATGCGCTTTTATGAGTGAGCCTACTACGGTCGGCTGAGGAGAGAGAGAGAGAGAAGGAGAGCAAGATGCGTGGAAGGTGGGTGCGCAAGAAAGAAGGAAACTCTCTGGGTGGTTACGTCGACTCTGATTTTTAGGCATAAGAGGCTATGCACGCTAGCCTGTGGGTAGGAAAGGGGCGAATGAGCACAACTCACCAGTTGTACTCTGTTGTTGAAGCCGCGTGTCTTCCTTGAGTTGGGGCATTACGTGCCACACAGAAGAGGTCCTGATGGCTTAATTGCTGCCCGAGAAGCGAGCACGAAAGTGGTCAATTGAAGAGGAATCGGCGCGCCTTCTGCAGACAGCTCTCGTTGATAAGGATGACTCATCACATCTACTCTGATCGTTGTTGCTACGGGCAAGTGGCGCGAGGGCAGGCAGCTATGCGAGCAGAAGGAGGGAGGGCTCTCTTTTCTCCTATTAAAGACAATCTCGCTTGCTCGGATCGATGCTCTCGCCCTAAACAATCACCTGCCTTGTCATTTTCGCACGAACTTCAATCGGTCACCAAACAGGAATCAATCAAGCTAGCAAACTTGCAAAGGTGAACTACTGCTACTGAATTCCCGCTTCAATGCTGGTGGAGGTCAGGGAGCTAGACTGCGGTCCACGAAAGTGCTACCCGACTTGGTTCCGGCCCTTGTGCACATGCTATAGAGGATGCCTGAGGACTCAGAGTGGAGGGATAAGGGAGGAGACCCTGCCCTTTTGTCAGCCTACTAAAAGGATTAGTAGACATCATTGTTCTAGAGTTACCGAAGTGCTTCTCCATAACCGTTTGGCCGAGTCTTCAGATAACATGTTAACTATATCGAATAATCCTTTTTGTTTTCATTAATCCGGTTCCCCTTCTATTTAGTCTAATTAGTTTAACTGGCGTGGATGATCAGTGTTCACTAATCATGCAATTTGTCTGACTAGTTCGAACGATTGGTGCTAACTGATCCTGTAAATTGTCTAATTGAATGGAACGATCAGTGTTAACCGATCGTGTTGCATCGAGATAAAGTTCAGGTTCTCTGCAGGCTGAGTAAATAGGGGAACAATGGAAGCCTCATTACATAACATTGATTTGAAATTTGCGGGGTCTGAGTGATTAGTATGAGCAAGAAAAGTGGGTGTTCATGGTGTTGGTATGCTTTAACTTGCTTTGAGAGGTTCGCTCGATTATCTGGTAAAGCCAAAGAGCTATGCAATCTTCATGATGTGTGTTTAAACCCGGTTGGAGACGGGGATCCCAAATGCAGTTAGAATCCTGGGTTTTCTTCTCCTGCATACTGTGACTATATTGAGTTCTCGCATTGTGTGAACGCACAGTGTGACTGCATTGAGTTCTCGTACTGTGTGAATGCACTGAGTGACCGCATTGTGTTCATACACTGTGTGAATGCACTTAGTGACTGCATTGTGTTCTCGCACTGCTTAAATGCACTGTGTGACCACATTGTGTTCTCGCGCCGCGTGAATGCACTGTGTGGCTGCATTGTGTTCCTGCACCACATGAATGCATTGTGGGACTGCGTTGTGTTCCCGCACCGTGTGAATACACTGTGTGATTGCACCATGCAGTTGCTTGTCTGACTGCTTCGTGTGACAGCCTGAAGCTGTGATCGCATTGGCCTGCATACGCTCATCTAATTGAAAAATGTCGATAGTGGTAAGAGATTGATCGTGCCGAGAGATAAGTTGCGAGCGTGACAATGAAGGCCTGCAAATGCCTCTGTGAGTAGACTGAATGCCTCGCGAATTTAATGACTGAAGGCAGGCCTATGATCGATTATTCGAGCCTGCTTCAGGATTTACTGAGTAGGCTTGTATGTTAAAAGGGGGACTGTAGGAATGATCCCCATTGGTTGTGTTTCATGTCCTGACTTTTGATTGGATGGGGAAAGGAAAATCAGTACTGAGGGGGATTTCCTATGTCCTCGCTAAGTTCCTACTTGACGGTGACTAAGTGTCCATTTGCCTGAACTGGGGTAAGGTCTGGCTCAGATGGAAGGTGATCTGAGCACCTCATGAGTGCAGGCGGGTTAAGTGCCAGTGAACAGACCTCTTGGGTGAGAGACTCGAGTTCTGGATTCTGACTACAACGAAAATTCATTTAGAACGGAGTACGTTTGGCCGAGTAGATGATGTTCATCTAACTAACGGCGCAGAGTGAACGAGCTGTTCAATAGGGCCGACGCACGCTCAGGTTCACCTTGGGCTCAGAGTCTCTGCCTTCGAGCTAAAGCTCAAATCAGACGAGTCCTTACATGAGTGTCGGCACCTATAGACTCTACACGCTGTACAACATCAGAGCCCATAAACCAGCAAGAAACTTTGCACCTCGGCCACTTCATATACGGCAGGGCCTTACTAGGGTCAGTATCAGCATACTCCCATCAACCATTTGCAGTTTTCCTCTTCTGGAAAACAAAGCCTTCACTACTCGGTATCTCAGTGTCTGTGCAGTTCTAATTAGACCTTAGCTAGCGACTCAGGGACACCCTGGCAACACTTACATAGCAGCAAAATTGGGCACTCGCCAATTGTTCCTCCAGTCGGCTATCAGTTCGATTAGTCTCCAGCTAACAATTGACGGATCTCAAGAGAGTTTTCTTCCAGATAGGTTTCAGGCTCTTCCTAGATAGTACTCAAGCGGCAACTAATAAAGCAGATGGACTAGTGGTGGCAATTATTTACTACTGTCTAACCCTCGATACCCTTAGGGCGGGCCCACGGCCAGGCCCTAAATCAGACAGGTTGTGGGGAAACGAACGCTCAGCATTTA